TTTCCCTTCTGGAGAACTTCTTTTAAAATGCCATGGTTAAATGAACTATTTCAGCTCTGTACATTAAATCTGATTCTTCTTAGAGTTCTGTATTATAGAAAGCTGAAAAGGCAACTAGTGGTTTCCTTCAGGTGAAATAAATTATTTTAGAAGCATGCAGAATTCAGGAAGTGATTGCAGAGATAAAAAGATTGCATTTTCTGGGCCAGTAGTTTACATATTAGGACAATAAATTTTTAACAAGGAACAGGATGAATATTATGAAAACTCAAAGTACATGCTTAGTAGGGTTATCTTCAGATTGCTCAAGAGGATTTTCAATGAAAGTTAAGGAAGAAAATCTATGCATGTATCCTTTAAAATGAGAAGTCCTGATGATACAACAGTTAAGCCTTCATCTGCTACCCAAAAGGTTAGCATTTTGAAGTTAACCAACCACTCAATGGGAGAAAGACTAGTGGTCATCTCCTGTAAAGATTGTTACTGTTGTCAGATACCGTCTAGATGATTCCAATTTATAGCGACCACATGTGATAGGATAGTATTTTCATGGCAGTAATTTTTACAGAATCAAATTACAGAGCTATTGTTGTTGTTAAGTGCTGTATCGTCAGTTCCAATTCACAGTGACTCTGTATAAGGTTTCAAAGGAGCTCCTCGGAGTATGAACTGCTGACCTTGCTTACTTTACAGTATTACAACAGCAGAGCTGTTAGGTAGGTTCAAACCACCAATCTTTTGGTTAGCAGATGTAGTTTCAACCCTATTATCAGCAGGGCTCTTAGAAAACCTTTGGGCCACTTCTACTGTCATAGAGGGTCATTATGAGCCAAAAATTGACTTCATGGTGTCTTACAGAACACTTTAATATGAGATAAAACTAAGGAAAAAATAAGAAAAAACAGTAGCAGAAAAGATTTTTAAAAATTAAAGTACTATTTTATAAAGATTATACAAAATAAATTATTTTTATACAATGCCATCTAGTTGAGACCAGTCTCCTCTGGTCATATGATAGGCTAGTTTAAACAGGGTATCAGAATGGGCTTCCTGGAAATAAACATTTTCCTAGTTTACCTCCTCTCTGGTGTCTAAATTTTAAAGCTGTATCTCTTCTGTATGGTTGCAGGACATATCTGCTGAACTTGTTGAATACATAATGACTAAAGCCATTTGCATAAAAAGCACACTTTGACATCTAACCAAAGAGACAAGAGAAAAATAACTGGCCAGGACACTTTGAAATAGAATGGATGATTTTTTTTTCTTCTTGCATTTACTTCCAAATTCATGAATTTCATATTCTCTTCCATGCAAGATAGTAGCTCTCCTTAGGTGAAGCCTATGTGGGTATTTTCAGCTGTGGTCAGCTTCCCTCTGAATCCCACTACGGTTTGGTGATACAGAGTAAACAAGGCAATAAATCAAATGCAATGCATTAATACCTCAATGCATTCATTGCAAATTGATCTGGAATACCGGTCAGCTCAAATCGCTTTTCAAGTGAAACTTTTCACATTAAGACGTGGGAAGGGAAAGGAGTGGAAGCAGAGGAAAGAAACAACGGCAGTCCTAAGGATTCAGACATGTGGTTTCTTGTTTTGGGATAGACCAAAGCTAGGTCTCCTCAGGTGAGATTCTTCAGTTATTTATTAGGTTGGAGCCATGGATATTTAAAAACACATCCCTGTGGCTGGCACTAAACCTGAAATCTGGTGGGCAACTTTTCAAGAAATAAAAGCTAGAAACAAAATAGCTTTAGATCCATTCAGCAAGCTGTGGGAAATGGCTAATGGACAAGCATTACTGTGACTGGCAAGGCAAGTTGCCAATAAATGATAGAAGCAGAAATTCAAACCACCACATAATAACACTTCTTAAGCTTATTTCACTAATTTGTCAAAATAGGGCATTATCCGAACCAAGTGGAAGAAAAGCAGGATTGGAGAGCAGAGGAAAAGGAATAAAACAAAAGTAAAAGCTATGTTCTTTCTGTCAAGGAGTGCCGGTGGCGCAGTAGTCAAAGTACTCAGCTGCTAACTGAAAAGTCAGTGCTTTAAACCCACCAGCCACTCCAAGAAGAAAGATGTGGCAGTCTGCCTCTGTAAACCCCGTGGAGTCTATTCTTCTGCTATGAGTCAGAATCAACTAGACAGCAGTGAGTTTGATTTTAGTCTATCCATCTTTCATTACTAACTAGTTACATCTGCTTTTCCTGATGCCACACTTGCAACAATTTTTTTCTCTCTCTCTTTTAAAAATTATTTTATTTTTGTTTTTGCTGTTGAGAATATACACAACAGAGGGGGTTTTAAAAGGTTTGTGGAAAAATGATGGAATTTTCCCAAACTTTTTGAAGCCCTTCACAGATACTAATTCACCAATTTCTACATGTGACAGTGATTACATTGAGTTATGCAATATGCCTTTCTGTTGTTCTTCCCCCATTAACATGCACTCATGGCCTTCTTAGTTTCCTGTCTAATCTTTTCAGTTGCTGAAGTCAATTTCATCCCATATATAGATCTTCAAAGAGCAAGATACTTCAGTAACACATTCTTTAGGGCTTAAGGTATTGTTTGCTTGGAAAAGACTTCAGGGGATTTTTTTATTTTATGGATTTTAATTCTATTCTAGATGTAGATCTTGATGCTTACTAACTCTACAAAGGCAAAATGAGTTTATCAGTCAATCATGTGGCTGAACATATTTCTAAAGGAAATGTTTTAAAATAAAACAAAATTTTGAGATTGTTCAAACTGTTAAATCTACATAGATAATGATGCCATTTGTAATCTGCTGCTTTTTAAAAAGACTTTTCTTATAGGAGATCTGTAGATCCTTAATAACGTCACTAGAAATGTCACTGGCACCTCAATTATTCCTACACATCAGTTTCTTTCTTTCTTTTTTTTTTAATTGTGAATTGAGTGAAGGTTTGCAGAACAGATCATCAGTCTCATATCCAATAAACTATACACTTTGTGTCATTACAATGATGGCAATTTATCATTTTCTTTATTACAATGTTTGTGTGGACATACAAGGAGGCTTCAAAAAGTTTGTGAAAATGGAATTAAAAACATAACTGAATTTTTCCATGACCTTTTTGAAGCCCATCATATATCATAAAACGGAGTATTTATGCTATCATAAAAAGTTATATTTGTTGCTATTAGATGCCATCAAGTCAGTATCGACTCATAGCCACTACCTTATGTACAATAGAAGGAAACCATGCCCAGTGCTGCGCCAACCTCATAACTGTTGCTACACTTGAGCCCACTGCTGCTGCCACTGTGCCAATCCATATCATTAGGGGTCTTTCTCTTTTTCTTGGATAAACTTACAAATGTTATGTATCTTTTGAAATAAGAAGATTTACATGTACATGATTTATCTATATGGAAAAAAAGTACACAGAAAAAAGACTAGAAGGTTGTTGTTGTTGTAAGTGTTACTGAGTTGGTTCTGATTCACAGAGACTCTATCCAAGAAGAGGCTGGTGGATTTGAACCACTGATCTTGCAAGTAGCAATCTTACAGCATCATACCAGAACTCCGAAAAGAGAATGTAAAATGGTAACAACTGTCTGTTGTGATCATTTCCCTTTGTTCTATTTCCATGTCTTTTTATGAAGGTTCAAAGATTATCTCAGGGCAATATAGTTGCAGGGACTCATCCAACTTCAATCACTCCAGAACTAGATTCCATGAGAATTTGGAATTTCACTCTGCATTTCCCCTCTTTTGTTGAAGATTCTTCTATAGAAAACGTTAAGTAATGGTAGCTGGGCACCAACTTTTTCGTATGACAAACACAGGGTTATTTTTGCTTATGTCTGCCCTGTCTTTTTCCAGCAGAGAGAAGTCTAGTGGTTGGATGGGAAGAAAGAATGAAGTCTTAATAAGCCCCCCTCAGAGTGGCTGCCTGACCTTCCCGGGCCACAGTTTTTCCTCACCTGTCATTTTCTCAGAGGAAAATAAGAACCTCAGGTGCTATCTCCAATCATTCCCCCATCTCAAACTCAATTTTTAATTCTTCCTAATAATTTTAAATAGGCAAACTAACTGTTAAACTTGTCATGAATTGCAATCTCTTATTCTCTGAAATGGAATAAAACCAACCCATCATAGAAGAAGAACAGATTCAATTAACTGAAGAGATTCAAATCAGTTAAAATTTAATGAACAATGTCTTAAATTATATTTCAGATAGTCTTTTCAGTGTCATGCTTAAGAGCACAGACTCTGGGGCTGGGCTACCTGAATTCAAATTCTATGTTGACCACTTACCAGCCATTCAGATTTAGATAGATACAATCATTTTCTCTATTTTTCCATTTCCTCATCTTTAAATGTTGTTAAGTGCCCTCTAGTCGGTTTCTGTACAGGGTCACTATACAACAACAACAGTCAGTTCCTACCCAAAGGGACCCTGTATAGGGTTTCCAAGGAGTAGCTAGTGAGTTAGAACCACCAACCTTGCAGTTCAAACCAACCTTGTGTTCCCAGTGCTGATCCTACAACATCACACCAGGACTCCTCATCTTTAAATGTTGTTACTTTTAAGTCAATTGCCATCAAGTCAATTGTGACTCACAGTGATACTGTATAGGGTTTCTGAGGAGCCACTGGTGGGTTTGAACTGCCAACCTTAGGGTTCATAAGTCCAATGGTTGTCCTACAGCATCACATCAGGACTCTCTATGTTATATTAAGTACTATTAAACAATTGCATGCAAAGTTAAATGAAGGTTCACTTGTCTTAGGTCACATGAAACAATCTTCTCACTAATGGGTAAGGAAAAAGGTTAAGAGTTGAATCCTTTCTTAAAGATTAGCCTTAAATAAGGCAAATGCTTAATAATACAATAATGCACACTAACTATTCAACCTAAACATACATGTTTCCATAACAGAGTCAAATTAAACAAACCGAGTAGCCTATTCTAAAACATTGGTATAATCCGAAACATTGCTGTGAACAAAATACATACTTCTGGGGAGATCTGTTATCAATTTCAGCCTTCAGTCGTAAATTCTCCCTCACCAGGCCACCATTTTCCAATTTCAATTTTTTATTTGCCTTAAGAAGAAGAAGAAGAAAAAAAAAAAAACAGTTGAAAATAGTTACGCACAAGCTAAAACAAAAGTGCCTTGTAAAAATTATTTCATTTTTAGAGTGACAACAGAAAATAGAATTTTATAACATGGCCTTCAGAAACTTAAAATAACCACTGGAAATGACTTGTGAAGTTGTGAACACAACCAAGCATTTTTAATCTGTATTCCCCAAGTACTCTGTAAATCTCCTGTCCAGGGAAATATATAGAGCTATGTTAGTTAGCACAGTATCATTAAGGGACCATGCAAATGGCAAATACACGCTGTTTTGTTTTGTTTTTCCTTCCACATAACTGAATTACTTTAAGCATGGTAACATTATAACACTAGCAATTATCAGCAAAACTAATGTAGAAGAGTTATCTAGAAGACTGACTTATTGGTTGTTCCCTAAAAATATTTTTCTAGTGATGACAAATCTTAATATGTGCTTAAAATCTTTTTTTTTCTCCCCCCTTCAAAAAGGACTTGCCAATGCCCTTGCTTGCAACTTCTGGAACTCTAAAAACTGGGTCAATATTTTCAATCAATTGCAAGGACTCTCCTTTGATTAAAAAAGAAAAACAATCCAAAATATGACTTTCTTTCTTGAATTAGCTGATCACTAAAAATCACCTAACAACACATGAACTGCAAGAAAATCTGGAACCTGAAAAGTAATGTACCTAAATTTTAGAGTTTTCTTTAAAAGCTACTTTCTCTAAATTCTCTAGGCTTTGTATTTGTGAATACTAAAGGATAAAGACTTCCTGTTGTTGTTGTTAAGTGCCTGAGATTTACTTCCAACTCATAGTGACCCTATTTATGGTTTCCAAGGAGTGGCTGGTGGGTTTGAACTGCCAACCACACAGTTCAAACCAACTTGCAGTCCAGTGCATTATCCTGTAGCGCCACACTAGGACCCCTAGACAGCCTCATTAATCTGGCAATAGATAGCCTTCATTTAACTAGAACATTTACTTTCAAAGTGAGTGGGTTACAAGAACTATTGTCAAGTCAAACGTTTAAACCAAGAAGCTTAAAAAACAGATTTCAAAAAGTTTAATTTATTACCAGGACTACTCACTGTATTCAACAGATGCTCCATAATAAGGGAAGCATGGTGGAAAGCATTCTTTTGGGTATAAAGCCTAACTCTGTTACTTCGATGTATCCAGGTTCCTTTGGAACTCTGGGCACCTGCTTATCTTTAATGTTGCTCACAAACCAGGACTGTAGAGGGTTAATTCTTTAAGTGACTGATAAACATCATTACTGACTCTATGAAGATATTACAAAAGCCATTTACTTCCTCATACACACAATGAATTAAGCCCTCAAGCATAGCACCATAAGAGGAGGCACTTAGTGAATGCTTTTTGATGATGATGACAAGCTTAAATTAGAAAGTTATTTGATTTCCTTTCCCCATCCCTTATACTGTATTCCTATGTTTCAAGGTTTCTCTTCAGGCCTGTTGCTTTCTAATACTTCTCATTATGGGCTGACTAAATCCTCAACTATCAGAGATTACTTTCAAGTTCAGGAACATTAGGTGAATTTAAGTTATGAAGGCAGAGTTCTGTTTCTTTGTTTTACCTAAAAGAATTAAGACTTCAGCTAATACTGAATGGGTAATGATACAGTCCTCATTGGTTGAAAACTCATCTATGCCAGAAAACATTACAAAACCAGTCAATTACACTCGTTCTAAGTAGTTCTTATATTGGAATCTTTTGTACCACTATAGTTGATTTACAGTCTATTGTTTTGCACTTCACATATGAGTTTTTGTCTCTGCAGCTTACATTTTTTATTTCATTTATGCCCAAATAATAGTCTAGAACTCCTGGTGTCTCTATAGGATCAGCACTGGGCTGAGAACCACAAGGTTGGCAGTTTAAACCCACTAAATTCTCCTTGGAAACCCTACACAGGTTTGCAACTGACTCAATGGTAGTTAATGACAACAACCTAATTCTATCAATAAGATTCCAAACAGGGCTTATTAAATGTTGCAAATAATTCTGATGGCTTGGGGTAGCTTTGGGTAGTGAATTTCACATGTGAACATTATGAGAGCAAAGAGAAACTAACTATATACTTTTTATGTATATCCCCACATCACTCTTATGAGAAAGATTTTTCGCCATGCACTATGTAAAACCAAACCCACTATTACCAAGTTGATTCTGACTCAGAGAGATCAGGAAAGACTCCAGAACTGCTCCAGAAGGCTTCCAAAACTGTAAATCTTTACAGAAGAAGACTGCTACATCTTTCTCCTGTGGAGAATCTGGTAGATTGGCATGGACTACTTTTTTCACTAATGTACTCATGGAGCCATGGGATTAGCACTCAGCCTCAAGGTCAGTTTGGACCCAAAGGTCGACGGTTTAAACCCACCAGTTGCTCCTCAGAAACCCTATACAGGGTCACTATAAATGGTAACTGAATTGACGGAACTTAACAACAACAACAACTCTATTTAATGGATAGATGGGAAGATAACTTTAAAAATGAAGCAGACTGATAAACCATATAATATCCTTTTGCATGGAGAAGTCTCAAGTAGCTGCTCATAGCTTTCCTGGAATGAGTCATAAAGCCTTTAACTATGTATTTGCAATCTTAAGACTCAGAGACTGGTAATGCTAGAAAAGATGGTCCAAATCTTTCATATTATTAAGTAGGGAAATGGGTATAAATTGTCACTAAATAATAAGCTTAAGAAAATAAAATCCCAAAGAAGGGGAACTAGAAACAGAGCTTTTAAATTGACATGACTCTCCCAGAAGAAGATACAAACTCACACAAAACCCTATACTCTCCAATTATATTTCTTGGCAGAAAATGAATGACATTTAACTAGAAAAAATTTTTCCTATTGCATATAAATGTTCACCTAGGGGTTTCATCTTTCCCCCACAAATCATTCAATGAGTCAATATACTTTTGAAAGGGCTTAAAGTATTAGAGAATTTTAAAAACAACCACTCTTACCTCTTTTAGCTTATCTACATCATCTTTCACTTTTTCATAGATTTCATTAGCTGTTCTGAGCTTTTTCTTCCACTCTGCTACAGTTTCAGAGTCGATTTTACTTGGATTATCTGCAACTGGATGTTTGTCTTCATTTCGGTCGTTCTGCATCAAGGTTAAAGGATCCAGAATAGTCTTGATTTGTGACTCTAAGCTGAGATTTTTACTCTTAAGCTCTTCTACTTCTTTCTGCAGACAATCTATTTCATCCTGAGAAAGGATTATAACATGAAATTCATAAACACATATGAATGCTAAAGTGAAACCAATGTGTTTTCAAATTTTATACTCAAAATTCTACAGATGCATAGATTGACAGAGCAGAATAGTTATATAATTCAGGAAGCCACGTACAGTTGAAATTCTCCAAATATATTCTGACAAAACCTGATTTTTCTGCTGTGCTCTGGGTAAATTAATCTTAGTTTATGGTTTTGTTGTTAAGTGCTATCGACTTGGTTCCAACTCACAGCCACCCTGTATAGGGTTTCTGATGAACAGGTGGTGGGTCTGAACTACCAACCCTGTGGTTTCAGTCCAGTGATGATCCTACAGTGCCCACAAGAAGTTCAGACAAAAATTAAGAAATAGCACATTTCACACTACAATGTCATTGCCAGTAGTTGACTTAAGATACATTTACATTAACAGAATTATCAGACATAGAATCCTCAGTGAATTTATAGTCAGAAACAAAAACAGAATGGAAATTTTAGTAACTGTTTACCAGACCACTCATAATGGCCTGTGGGTGTCAAAAGACTAACTTTCAAAAAAGGTTCCCTTTATCTCCCATCTTGAAAAGGGAACCAATATTGACAAAATGAAATATATGTCGAGGTACACATTTAAATTAAAAAAGGAAATGCTTCCATTTGTTCCTTTATCTTGAATCCTAGTCTCCCCTTCTTGACCACTTTAAAAAAAAAAAAAAATTCTTTCCTCTATTTGAAAATGAGAAAGGTAAAGAAAAATAATGCATCAAGTAAATTTTGTTTTTTAAATCTTAATTCAAAATAAGATTTCATTGGATGTTTAAGAGGACTGAAGTAGTTCACTTTTACCTTGAATCATTTTAAGTATTATTTACCTCATATTCTTTGTGAAGTAATTCAAGTCTAGTTTTTCGAAGGTGCTTTCTGACTGTATGACTTAGCATAGGTTCACTTTCACTTGTTCCTCCTACAAAAACAAAACAAACAAACAAACAAAAAAAAACAAGGCCTAATTTTTCATTCTGATTGAGCAAAATGAAAATTAACCCTTTACTTACTGTATTATAAATAAATAGTTCCCCAACCTCTACCCTTTCCCTTATATGCAAACTCTAGGCTGTCATATAGATTAGGTCTCTATTCCATTATGCAGAATAAAAATAAACACCAAACAGCACTATTAAGAAATACCTTAAGTAAAATGCTGTAGATATAGTTACTTACCCATGTAACTCATTACAGGAAATGCCATGACGAAAAAGGTTATATTTTATTAATGTATTACATTTGGACTATTACACACTCTGAATACTAGACAATTGTTAAATAACGATGATAATACCAGTTAGTTATTCACATATGCCCCATTACTAGTAACACAACAGAAAAGATTAATGGGCCTTTTCAATGATACTAACAATCTAGTCAGTTCCAATGGATTATGAATCACAGTCTTTACTGTATGCCCATAATGACTTGTTACAAATACCCTCAAAATGATACCTCCTCAGAGTTCTTCACTTATATTGTGATTACCCTATTTTTCTTTGTATTTTTCAGCATCACAATAGCAAAGGCACTTTACAGATGTTCTTTTTGAGAACATCTACCCAAATGCAAGATTTTACTTGACAAAATTTAGGAAATGTCACTTAGATATTTAGATAGAGTGAATGCAGGCACAAGAAGGTATCTGAAATGAACTCGGGGGTAAAGCAAACTTATTTTAATCATTAAAGCTCATATTCTCCAAGAAAAGATTTGACTCCTTGGTGAATTTCAGAATAGGTTAAGAAAAAAATCAATAGAAAGGTTAATAGTGCAGCACAGCAGAGAATGAGTCCTCCAGTGGACTTCACTCAGATCCCTAAGGAAGAAGCCTCAGAGCCATGGCTCATTTTGTCTTTGGAAATCTTAGTCTCAGAAGCCCCAGGAGATCTTCATTTGCCTCTAGCTATATCTTCTATCTCTCCACTTCCACTGTAAAAATCTTACTCATGTCCTTTTTACTTAATGTGAATTTATTACAATGACTTAAGTTTTCTGAAACTTAAACATTGTCTATACATGGCTAATTATAGACTTACTTTCAATTCATCCTAAAGCAAAGACAAATAAAAATCATTTTAATTCTTATAATCTAAGAGAAATAATTTATATGAACATGGTAAAAAAACATAACCTAAAAATGCTCTTTAAATGTTTTCTTTTTCAAGGATCCTCTAATTTAAGTTTCGCTGCTACTCTTGCCCACCGTAAAGTGTCACTGACTATTCTTTTAATACAGACTCAAATACTCCTTCAGCTGACAAAAGCTTCTGCCCTAACCTCACAACCTCTCTCTCTCATACAATCCAATGTAGATATCAATGTTGTTGTTAGTACCATCAAGTCAGTTCTGACTCATGGTGATCCCGTAGAGGGTTTCCAAGAACCGAATGGTGCATTTGAACTGCCAACCTTGTGGTTAGTAGTTATCCTATAGCACCACACTAGGGCTCCATAGATACCACTACCCAAGTAATATTCCTGCAGCATTCTTTATATCATTCAGCTCCCTGACTCAAAACCATAACATCCACCTCACCCATCCCCAACTAAAGATAAAGAGCAAATCCCTGATTTACTTTGCCTTTTTTTAGTCTTACTTCAGTTGTTGTAGTTGTTAAGTGCCACCAAGGTGATGCCAACTCATAGCAACCCTGCAAAGAGCTTCAGAGGAGCAGCTGGTGGGTTTGAACTGTCAATCTTGAGGTTCAAAATGACCTTGTGGTCCAGTGCATTATTCCTCAGTACCACACTAGGACTCCATTACGTGGATCCAAACCAGACCACTGATCATTTCCAAACCCATGCCCAGTGTTCTACTACTAAACCTTAGTTCATACTTCTTCCTGTACATGAAATCCCATCCCTAATCTTTACAAGCTGAAATTTTAGCTTAAAGGCTGAGACTAAAGAAGCTTCATGAAGCCTTTTTTAGTGTTCTTAAGTGAACTTCTTTGCCTGAATTTGCTGGGCTGTTTTATTAGCCCTTGGAATCTGCTGCTTTAAATCTTTAATATTTGTTCCACTTACACAGCCTTTTCCAGAACGTAAACACCATCGTCTCTTAAGGTTGATTTCTTTAAATGTCTCTCATAATGCCTAATGTACCCTCAGTTGCTCCACAGATATGTTATTTTGTTGTGGTTAAATGCTGTTGAGTCAGTTCCGACTCATAGAGACCCTGTTTAGGGTTTTCCAAGGAGTAGCTGTTGAGTTTGAACCACTAACCTTGTGGTTCAAACTGATCTTGTGGTCCAGTGTTTTATTCCACAGTGCCATACAAATTACTAAGCCACCCATATAACATCAACTAAAACGTAAATGTTGATTTCAGTCCTCCCAAAACCATACATTATTTGGAGATGGTTTTAAGTCTGTTTCTGCAATTGCACAAAATAGGCCCTTACCAATGATCTCTTTGCAAGGATTTTCAGGAGTGATGGGAACTCTGCAAGCTGGACATTGGCTATTATTCTTCAACCACAAATCGATACAAACGGAACAAAATACATGGTTGTTGATGCATATGACAGGCTGGCGTACCTTGAAAAAAGAAACATTACTTTTAGTACAAGACAACAGTCACAACTAGAAACCCAATATGGTTGAGCTTAAAGCAAACAAACTGCTTTTCTAGAGTAGAAGCTTTAATAAGCACTGGACTGTGAATCACAAGGTCCACAGTTTGAGCCCACCAGCCATTTCGCAGGAGTAAGGTGAGGTTTCTGCTCCCGCAAAGATTTAAAAAGGCTTGGAAACCCTATACAGAGTCTCTATGAGTCAGAACCTACGTGACGGCACTTAACAAAAACAACAATAAACCAAACCCACTGCCTTGAGTCCATTTTGAGTCACAGCACCTGGTATACGGTTTCCAAAGTTATCAATCTTTATAGGAGCAGAACATCTAATTGTTCTCTAGAGAAGCTGCTGCTGGGTCTGAACTATCAATCTTGTGGTTAGTAGGCCAGTGCTTATCCTACCGTGCTACCAGGACTCCTTATAAATTGTCTAGAATATACAAAAGTGTTGCTTCTTATAAGAAACCTCATTGTCTCATATATAAGACATTAGCTGGGATAGAAGCCATGGATACTAATTTAACATATTACAAAATTCTTTTGCTTAGACATGCTCATGGGCCAAAATGCATTTCATTTCATAGAGACTAGGCCAATTTCCCTCAAGTTATTCTAATTTAGAATAATGTAATGTCAGGATTAGAAAGTTTTTTTAAGTCCTTTGTAACCCAATCACCCATCTCATGCTTGTGAATTCCTCAATTCATTCCATTATATTACAGAATATAGCAACTGATAAAAAACATCGATTTCTTATTAAGAATTCCCCAAAATCTAAGAGTCAAAGCTAAAAAAGTTGCAAGAGACAAGTGGTTTATTACCTAAACACATAACAACACTGACAGAAATACTGTCAAATACCAAATACACAAATCCTCAAAATCATCTGTTGCTGTTGTTAGGTGCTGTCCAGTTGGTACTGACACAGAGCACCAATGAACAACAAAATTAACACTGCTCAATCAATGCTGCACCATCCTCACAATTGTTACACTTGAGCTCATTGTTGTTGCCACTGGGCCAATCCATCTAGGTGGTGGTCTTTCTTGTTGACCCTCCACTTTACCAAGCATGATGCCTTTCTTCAGGCACTCATCCCTTCTGATAACCTGTCAAAATATAAGAGACTAAGTCTCACCATGCTGGCTTCTAAGGAACACTCAGGCTGTACTTTTTCCAAGACAGATTTATTTTTATTTTGGCATTTCATGGTACTTTCAGTATTTCTCTTCAACACCATAATTCAAATGCTTCGATTCTTCTACGGTCTTCAATGTCCACCTTTCATTGAGGCAAATGAAAATACCTGCTTTGGGTTAGGAGCTTCTTAGTCCTCAAACTGCTATGTTTGCTCTTGAACACTTTAAAGAGGTCTTGTGCAGCAGATATGCTTAATGGTTTTCGATTTCTTGACAGATGCTTCCATGAGTGTTGATCGTGGATCCAAGCAAAAAAAAATCTTTGACAACTTCAGTCTTTCCTTTATTTATCATGATGTTATTTATTGGTCCAGTGGTAAGGATTTTTGTTTTCTTTACATTGAGGTTTAATCTACACTGAAGGCTTTCATCTTTGATCTTCATCAGTAAGTATTTTAAGTCTTCTTCACTTCCAGCAAGCAAGATCATAACAACTGTGAATCTCAGGTTGTTAATGAGTTTTTTTGCAATCCTGATAACATGTTCTCTTCTTCATACAATCTAGTTTATCTGATTATCTGGTCAGCAAATAGACTGAATAAGTATGGTGAAAGGATACAACCCTGGTAAGCACCTTTCCTGATTTTAAACCATTCAGTGTTGCCTTGTTTTGTTTGAAAGACTGCCTCTTGGTCTATATATACAAGTTCCTCATTAACACAAAAGGAGCTCTGGTAGCATAGTGGTTACGATTTGGGCTGAGAACCTCAGGGACAGCAGTTCGAAACTACCAGCTATCCCGAGGGAGAAAGATGAGGCTTTCTGCGCCCGTAAAGATTTACAGCCTCGGAAACTCTGTACAAGGTCGCTATGAGTTGGAACCGACTACAAGGCATAAAACAACAACAACAACATCAACACAATGAAATGTTCTTAAAAAGCCTTAAAAAGTCAATAAAGCAAATACCAGCTGATGTCAGCAACACTATCCCTAATTCTATGTCCTCTTCTGAATCTGACTTGAATTATGGGCAGTTCCCTGTTGATGTACTTTTGTAGCCATGGCCAGCAAAATGTTACTTGCATGTGATATTAATGATATTTTTCAATGAGTTACGCATTCCATTGGGTAATTTCCCTTTGAAATGAGCACAAATATGGATGGATCCCTTCCAATCAGTTTACCAGGTAACTGTCTTCTAAATTTCTTGGTATGAGTGAGCACCTCCAGTGCTGCATCAGTTTGTAGAAAGATCTTGATATGTACTCCGTCAATTCCTGCAGCCTTGTTTTTTGCAAACTCAAAATGAGGAGAAACAGGTATAAACATCGATTAATAATCAGAATATGGACTATATGAAGAATAAACCTAGATCAATATCCTAGACATTTGCTGGTTGATTGGTGGTGTGACACTGATTCTGTTCTGACTCAGCTACCCTGGGTAAGGTTTCCAAGGCTGTAAATCTTTATGGGGCAGAAAGCCTCATCTATCACCCGCAGAACTGGCAGATTCCCGTTGTTCCTTATCCTAGACATTAGTGAGCTGAAAATGGACTGGTACTAGACATTCGGAATTCCACAATCATATGGTTTACTATGCCATGAGCAACACATTCAAGAGGAATGGAGTCACATTCATTATCAAAAAGAACATTTCAGGATCTAACTTGAAGACCCCATACATCTATCTATACATCTACATGGAAGACAAGTTAATACCATTATCATTCAAATGTATGCACCAACCACTAAAGCCAGTGAAGATGAAATTGAAGAATTCTACCAGCTCTGGTAGTGTAGTGGTTACGAATCGGGATGTGAATCGCAAGGTCAGCAGCTGGAAACTACCAGCTATTCCATAAAGATTTACAGCCTCAGAAACCCTGTACAGGGTCGCTATGAGTCAGAACCGACTCCATGGCACATAACCACCACCATGACCATCAACTTCTTCAGTATGAAATTAAGACTGAATAAAATTATTAAGATATATTGATAATTACTGGTGACTGGAATGTGAACATTGGAAAAAAAGAGTCAGGGTCAGTAGTTGGAAAAGAATGGCCTTGGTGATAGAACCAATGCTAGAAATCACGTGATAGAATAGACAAGAATCAAACTGACTACATATGTGGGAAGAAATGATGGAAAAGCTCATTATCATAAGCCAAAACCAGGCTAGGGGAAGACTGTGGGACCGACCATCAATAACTGCTCATATTCAAGTTCAGGCTGAAGCTGGAGAAAATTAAAACAACTCTACATTAGCCAAAATATGACCTTGAATATATCCCACCTAAATTTACAGATCATCACAAGAACAGATCTGATGCATTAGATGCTAATGACCAAAACCCAGGAAAGTTGTGTGATGACATCACAGTCAGCAGTCTTAAACTACCACCTGTTCTGTGGGAGAAAGAGGAGGATTTCTGCTCCTGTAAAGATTTACTCTTGGAAACCTTGTACAGGGTCGCTATGAGTCGGAACCAACTCCACAGCATATAACAACAAAAACAACGAGAGCAAAAAGTCATTAAATAGCAAAGAAAGGAAAAACCAAAACGGATGTCAGAAGAGACTTTAAAGTTTGCTCTCCAGAGTAGAGATGTTAAAGTGAATGGAAGAAATGAGAAAGTAAAAGAGCTAAACAAAAAAATCTGAAAGGGCAGCTTGAAAAGGTGAAGTATTATAATGAAATATGCAAAGACCTGGAACTAGAAAATGAAAACAGAAGAACACTTTCAGTATTTCTCAGGCTGCAAGAACTGAAAAAAAAATTCAGATCTCAACTTGTAATTCTGAAGAGTTCTATGGGCAAAATATTGAATGATGCAGAAAGCATCAAAAGAAGATGTAAGATACATAATAAGAGTCACTGTAACAAAAAGTAATGGTCCATGTTTCACCATTTCAAGAGTTAGCATAGGATCAAGAATTGATGATTCTGAAGGAAGATGCCCAAGATGCAATGCAACATCATTTAAATAAGTACAAATAATAGTAATGGCCTTATATTTATAAAGGACTTTTTGTTTTACAAAGGGCCTTCACATGCATTCTCTTTTTTTCCCCCTTCCTTTTTTACAACCCAGAGGTGAGCAGGGTAAGTCTATTTTACAAATAAACCAAAGCATAAAGAAATTAGGGGCTTGCTCAAGGTTAGCTAGGTGTTTTGACTGTAATGATTTTTTCAGGGGGGGAACAGTAAAGACAGAAGTTGCTCTGGCTTTCTTCATAGCATTTGCATTACCTGATATTATCACCTGGTTGTTTGTTTATATATTTATTGCCTTCCCTATTAGAAAGGAGTTCCAGTGTGGTGCTGTAGGATAAGCACTGAACTGTTAATCACAATGTCGGTGGTACAAACCCCCCAACTTCTCCTCTAAAGCCCTATACAGGGTTGCTGAGTTGGAACCAACTAGATGGCACTTAACAAGAACAACATTAGAATGGAAGCTCTAGGAAAGCAAATTTCTTTAGTATTATTCATTCAGTCCCCAAATCCTGCCTCTTATTAGGCGAGAGCCTGGCAATACTAGATAGTCAATAAAGGTTTGTAAAATTAATTACTATTAAGGCAGTATTTAACATTCAGTTTCATTGGGTAACTTACCAAATAGCACATTATAAACACAGAAAATAAAATACAGAGAACTTCTTAGGCTTCATTTGATTTCTAGGATACTTTTACTGTGAACTCAAAACACTTTACAAAGCCCTTCTGCAGAAAAAAAAGGAAGGAAAACGAACAGACAGGACCATCACTAACCACCTTCCTCAGAGAGATGCTGGCACTGCTCTCCATGCCTCAGGG